CATCTGCATGACTGCCACTAGAAGTGTTACCAGACACCAATGTAAACACTGCATTTTCTCTGAAAATGCAGCATTTACAGTAAAAAGCCTGTAGGGACAGGCTGTTGACACCAAAACCGCATTAAAGCAGCACTGTCTTGATGAACTTACCTTTCTCCTATTGTTTCCTCTTCTCTTCATCTTTCAGAATCTATTCTTCTTTTCTTCCTTCTTTTCTTGATCTAGTTTTCTTTAAAACATAAGACCTAGTATGGACTTCTTTGTCATATGTATTTTTCCTACACTTGACCTTGACCTTCTTTGACAAAAGTAGAAACTTAAGTCCACTTCATTTGCTGTGGTCAAAGATATTTTCCCACAATACTCACCCTCTTCCATGTTCTTGCAATGCCGCCTTTCACTATTCTCGAACATCCTGTCATTCACCAAATTTCATCCTAACAGAATGAGTACACTTTGTCTATTCATGTCAGGACGTAATTTGTGCATTTTGTTTGGTTCGGAATTTCATTCCACAGGAATTAGAGAGTTGTCTACTAAAAAGCTGAAATTCTGGTCTTTCAGACAACTTTACTGATACTAAGTAATGATTACTTTGTAATAGTAAATAAGGGAGATTAAAAAGACCCCCTCACCCTCAAAGCGGATAAAGTGCCCCATGGTGAGGCACCTATTAAAATAAGTAACCGGTGGATGATTTTAAACTAAACGGGGGAGCTAAGTGACAAAAAGGAGGGGGGGCTATTATCTTCCTCCCTGCCCCCACCCATCAGCAGTGTGTGGGGGACCTAAGTGACAAAAGGGGGAAATCTTTGTTCATTTGAAATTTGTATTTGTATTGTATTTCGGACAATAGTGAAGTGTTCAACTGGGCATGCGCGGGAATTGCTATCTAGTGTGGGCAGATGACCCGACCCGAGGACCTTCGTCTGCCCACACTAATATGGAGGCATCTAGGCAATAGGAGTCCATAGTGCTGCCTGCAGGGGGACTCCCTAAACTGATGGGCAGTTTCCCTGCTGTTGTAAAATAAAAAAATGTATGTTAATATATTTTATATATATATATATATATATATATATATATATATATATATATAAAATTATATCTATATATAATATGTATATATATCTTTTATATATAATGTCATACTAAGTGTATTTTTATATTAATATATACATATATTAATACAAAATACACTTATAATTAAATTGCACACATATATATAATATATATAACGATATACATTGTGTATATATACATACATATATATATATATATATATATTGTAAAATATAAATAAGTAAATTCAAATAAATTAAAAAATTTAAAATAAATTTAAAAAATAAAGAAAATTATTCTATATATATATGTAATTTTATTCTAACTGTATTTTGATATTAATATATATATATATATATATATATATATACACTTAGAATACACTTAGAATTAATTTATATATATATATGTATATATATATACACACATATCTATATACATATATATATATTTATATATGCAAATATAAATAAATTAATAATATATATATATATATATATATATATCTATTTACATAATTATATAAATAATTTCAAATATATAAATATGTATATATATTTAACCACTAAGTGCAAATGTAATATTTTTGATTGCAATTTGAGGGACCAGCCTGACAACCCAGGCCGAAAGTCCAGAGAATTTAATTTGCTAGCACTGTATTTAACCCTGTAACTTTCCATGACACTCTAAAACCTGTATTTGGGGGGTACTGTTATACTCGGGAGACTTCGCTGAACATATATGTTAGTTTTTTAAAATAGTTAAACATATCACAGTGATGATATTGTTAGTGAAAGTGAAGTTTTTTTTTTTTCACAAACAATGGCACTTTCACTGATGATATCATTGTTATGATATGTTTTATTGTTTTGAAGCACTAATATTTGTGTTCAGTGAAGTCTCTTGAGTATAACAGTACTCCCCATGTACAGGTTTTATAGTGTTTTTGAAAATTACAGGGTCAAATATAAGGCTTGATTTTCCATTTTTTTCTTATAAAAATTTGCCAAATTGGTTATGTTACCTTTGAGAGCTTATGGTAGCCCAAGAATGACAATTACCCCTATGATGGCATACCATTTGGCAAATGGGGTATGTTCAGTCTTTTTTTAGTAGCCACTTGGTCACAAAACACTGGGCAAATTTATTGTTTACAATAGTTTCTTGCATATTTAGCACATAAACAAATATAAATTTGCAAGCACTGTAGTTAACCCTGTAACTTTCCATGACATATAAATTCTAGTAAATACTAGCAGAGCAGAAAGATGCTCCCGTCTGATGAACCGAAAGGTAAAATGCGCTCATACCACTTGTGTCATTTACACGCCGATTTAGCCACATAATGTTTAGTTTACTCCACTCTATTACTTTTGTGTCTACCCAGAGACCAGACTTTATTGTATACGGGGTATTTGTTGGGCGGGATTGTATTAAGCAAATATATATGAGGGACAGTTTTTCATTATGCGGTGCCCTCGATGGCACAATAGGGATATTATAGAAGTTCAGACTGTAGGATATCTTATGCTTTAACCCCTTAAGACCGGAGGGTATACTATTACGCCCTATTTTAGGCGTCTCTAAACGCCACCGGGCATAATAGTACGCCCTCCGTTCTTTCTATACTTACCCAGTCGCCGGCGATCCCACGCCGGTGATCGCGGTTGGGGGGACTCCCAGGGAGCCCCCCGCGGCACGTCCGACCCCCTGGCAGCCCCCCCGGCCATATTAGAGTGAGGTCCTTGCGAGGACCTCACAATCACATGGCCGGGATAGCTGCCTCCTGTATTGCCAGCAGGGGGGCTGCCTGTAATGACAGGTGGTCCCCCTGCTGGCTGAAAATAAAATTTAAAAAAAGTAAAATAAGTGTAAAAAAATATATATATGATCTAAGTAAATATATACACATATACATACACACACATACACTGTCTAGGTGTATTTTACTATTAATATATAAATAATTATATATATATATATATATTAATATCAAATTACACGCAGACTGATACTGATTAAATACATATATAATTATTGTTATATATATATTTATATATAATATAAAAAAAATATGTAAATACGTTAAAAAATTAAATTAAAAAAATAATTTTAAAAAATTATTAAAAAATATATAGATGTGTGTTATTTCGTTCTAACTGTATTGTGATATTAATATATATATTTATATCAAAATACACGTAGAACGAAATTATATATATATATATCTATATACATAAATATATACATATTTATCACTATATATATACCTATATATAAATAAAAATATTAAAAAAAATATATATATATATATATTCACATACATATATATATATATATATATATATATATATATATATATACATATATTAATTCTACATATATATTCATGTAATATTTTTACATAATTAGGTATCTTAATTAATTACAATTAGCGGGACCTGCCTGACAACCCATGCCGAAAGTAAAGGGAATTTAATTTGCTAGCACTATATTTAACCCTATAACTTTCCAAGACACCATAAAACCTGTACATGGGGGGTACTGTTCTACTCGGGAGACTTCGCTGAACACAAATATTAGTGTTTCAAAACAGTAAAATGTATTACAACGATGATATCGCCAGTAAAAGTGACGTTTTTGCATTTTTCACGCACAAACAGCACTTACACGGACGATATTATTGCTGTGATACTTTTTACTGTTTTGAAACACAAATATTTGTGTTCAGCGAAGTCTCCCGAGTACAACAGTACCCCTCATGTACAGGTTTTATGGTGTTTTCAAAAGTTACAGCGTCAAATATAAGGCTTGTGTTTCATTTTTTTCACATTAAAATTCACCAGATTGGTTACGTTGCCTTTGAGACCCTATGGTAGCCCAAGAATAAAAATTACCCCCATGATGGCATACCATTTGAAATAGTAGACAACCCAAGGTGTTGCAAACGGGGTATGTCCAGTCTTTTTTAGTAGCCACTTAGTCACAAACACTGGCCAAAATTGCCATTTTTTGCATTTTTCACACACAAACAAATACTAACACTAACTTTGGCCAGTGTTTGTGACCAAATGGCTACTAAAAAAGACTGGACATACCGCATTTGCAATACCTTGGGTTGTCTACTATTGCAAATGATATGCCATTATGGGTGTAAATTTCTTTCCTGGACTACTATAAAGTCCCAAAGGCAACGTAACCAATCTGGCGAATTTCAATTTCAAATGTAACGTGCTATATTTGACCCTGTAACTTCCCAAAATGCCATAAAACCTGTACATAGGGGGTACTGTTTTTCATGTGAGACTTTGCTGAATACAAATATGTGTATTTTATTGCAGTAAAAGCAAACAGTATTATGACATTGACCGTTAAAATGTCATGTAGAACTAAAAAAATAAAAAAAGTATTTTCTCCCATTTTTTTCATATTAAATTATGTTTCATAGCTAAATATTTGATATTAAATGAAAGCCCTGTTTCCCCTGAATAAAATGATATATAATAAGGGTGGGTGCATTTAATATGAAAGAGGTGGGGGCGGGGCCTAACCAGCATGGCTGACAGACGTGTGTGAGATGAGCTCCTCACACAAATTGAGGCACCCATGGTTTAAATAGAGGTATAACCCCTAAAATCAAAACCAAAGAGACTACGCACTATAAACTACTGACCGGGAACCCTCTCAAGCGAAACTGGAGACTCACCCCGCACTCTAAAGCCAGAACCAGACTCTGCGGCCTACTTACCTGGCAGATCCCAGAGGGAAGGAAGCGGCCGATCCTCCAACTTGGGGCTACCAGACTACCGCAGCAGACCTTTTCTTCCCCCCCCCCCCCTTTGGACCGGTGGGGGTCATCCCGGTACCAATTAGTAGACAGGAAGCTAAGTACACCTCAACAGTAAATAACGTCTCCCCATACCGGAGCCGCAACCAAAATGGCCACCACGACGGAGAAATGCACTGCAACAGACTGGGAGACCAGCTTTAATGCCAAATTCGACAGGGTGTGCGCAGCGTTCTGGCGCCGGATTGAAGCCCGTACTCAGCAGGCGCAGCCACCCACAACTCAGATTTTAAAGCTCCATCCGGCAACATTCCCAAAAAACAGCTTTAGCGAGCCGAAAAACCCAGCCACACACATGGCCCACGCCGCAGACTCAACCGCACTGACCTCTTCTGGGCCGGGTACTCACCTGGTGGTACCCCTCCTCCGCCAGCCACACACCCAGGGTAGAAACCGAACACCGGAACACTCCTGGGACCAGGACCCCCAAATCGGGACCTGCGGCAAGAAGGCGCGAGTCCCCGTCAAGGCCTCAGGCCGAGGACATGCGGCACACAGACTGCGCAAGCCAGTGCTAAGCTGGACACAACAACGGACAAGAACACCCAAACGACCACCTAAACTGGAGAGACAATCTGGAGAAACACAGGAGACTTCCACTTACAAAAGGAGCAGAAAAAGGCGCACCTTACGACACGAGCCACAAACCCCCCACACACGCAGCAGCCGAGAGGCTCAACCCAAGCAGCCGAGGACGGCACAATGCCTTCCAGTAAAGGGGGCCCAAACTCCTCCACAGACATATCAATGGGCACCCCCCAGAGTGACGCTGGGTCACACACCACTCACAGATCCTCGCTGTCACGGAACTGTGGGCCCAATACCGGGAACCTCGGACAGGAGGATCTCTTACACAAAGCCAGCGACCTACATGCAACCCCAAAGGTCCCACAGAACAGGTGTAGGCTGACTACGGACTGAGACCTGGGAGCTCCACCCGAGTACGGGGGAAAGTTTCCAGTGCTGCAACAAGACCTCTCAGTCTATGTCTTCAAAAAACACTTTAATTTTTCTTTTGTTGTTGTCTTTTCTTCCATTTTCTCCACACAGTTGGCACCGGTGGCAACATAACCTGTGATACTTTAGCATGATCTATATAGCCACCTCTCCACCTACCATAGAGCCTAGAAAGATTTGCATACTCTGAGAACAGACATTACCGTTTAGCTCTAGGAAAGTATCACTAAGCCTGTTACTAATCTTATCATTGCACCTTTTTACTCGTGTTTAACTTAGCATAATTCTCATGTCCCGTTTATCAACCTGATTCAGCTATCTATGTGTACTTTAACTGCCGGGATCAACATGTCTAGCTTGTAGAAATCTTAATGTTCTTCATATATGAGTATATAAATTGTCTCTCCACTACCATTTTGAGAGCTGCAGTGTGAAATAGACCCCAGTGGTAACAAGCTACTATGTCTCATCTATACCATGCCTTGTTTAAGCTTCACTAGCATCCAACATGTCTAGCTTTTAAAATTGTCAGCAATACTGCTCCTTTTATTGCCCCAACACGTTGTATGCTCTTGCTTTGTCTTCCGGTATTTGCATAGCTAGCCATGGTAAACCAGCTTGACGTATACCTAATTGTTTTCTTCTTCTACCTTAAAAAATGTATGCAAACCTAACTAGCCACACACCTGTTATACCTATGTTCATTGAGCCTGCTACAGCTGTTGTGGCGAGACAGGCACTGTTGTACTTTACCGCATACCAAAAATAAAGAATTATAAAAAAAAAAATATGAAAGAGGTGAATTACGGTTGGACAGACATGTAGCGCAAATGCCAGGTTTTGTTCACATTTTGTTTTGTTCACAACGTGTACATTTGGCTCCATCCTTAAGGGGTTAATCCTTTACCAATATAGCTACCTGGCCAGGGATTTCACTTGATACTTGTATCAGTTTCTCTGTCTATTTTGTTATTGCTTTTTGGAACAATGTTTCACTTCAAACTGTTTATTTCTATCTCACTACTTATGATTGCCTATGATTGTACTACATTTAGCTTACCTATCTTATGTTTTGCCAACTTCCTCTATTTGTGAAGACTGTAGGTAGGCTTACTTTGCAATATTTAGCAGACTTTTTTCTTTTCTTTTTTTTATTACACATTGGGTACGCACTTATTCATTTATTTTTTGCAGTTATTATTTTTAATTTTGTGTATGTCTTTATATTGGTGATTTATATTTAGGGTATTTTACCTTTTTAAGCTTTATTCTTATTAAAGCTTAAGTTTTATACATTTGTTCAGCCAACTCCTGACTGAAGTAGATATCGTTCCACTCAGATCTTATCTACATTAGTTCACATCCCTATTGTTTATAACTGTTTGGATAAACGGCAATTCTCCTATCTTTCTCTCTTTCTTTGTGCCATTTATCCATAGAGGTTATCCCCCGTTTAGGAGGTTTTCTCCGTATTGGCTCCCCAGTTTCTTGCTCTATTTCCTTTCTTTCTTTCTTTTTTTTTTGAGCTATTACATATACCACCAAGACTCATATTCAAATTGTAAAACATAAATTATAATTGTCAAATAGTATATTACTACATATTAATGAATACAATAATAAATCAACTGTAATATTAAACAAAAGAAGTCTTTACCTGCAAACGCTTAATGTGAAACAATGACAGTCATAAAATAACATTTGTAATAATAATTAAAAATAATGAGTGGATTAATGGAAGAGAAATTAAAAAATCCAAAATGAATGTGAGTTTTAAAATGTTATAGAATGATTAATACCATTATTACGATCATCTTGTCATTGTACTATTATCATTGCCTATAAATTCGAAATAATCTACGTAGCACCTTACATTGTTGTAGTATGCACCAAGCCATTTAGTATTTTGATGAGGTTTACTTTTTAACTTTTTATAGCTAGTTCTTTTTAAAATTAGAAGCAAAGGGTAAAAGCTGTCAGTTTATTCAGGCATTTTCATTTCCTTGTCAGCTTTCACAGCCTAATTCCATATCATTAGAAGGTTTAATTAGTATCACAAAAGGTCGAGAAAGAATTTTATTCAATTGCAAGTATTTGCAATTAGAACAAAATGCATGAAAAGTAGAAATTTTTAATTGTTGTTTAACATTTGCAGACAGATATGCTGTTTTTGCAAGAACACAATATACTTGAAAAGCAACTGTCATTTTATTTTATGTGGCAGTTCATTGCTTGTTCACCATAGTAAATACCACTGAAGTCTTTATTAGAGTGATATATTAAGTCAAGTGATGGAAACACACTCTTAACCACGCTGCACAAACCGGTTAGGTGGTTTAAATGTTATATTCCCAATCATATTTGTCATGACTCCTTGCACCCCTACGTATTTTAGATAACACAGCAGTTTACAAACCAGAGAAATTATGGCTAGGTTTATACATATTTGCATGAAATACTTTGCTGTACAATTTCAGACGGGATTTGATAAACTCAAGATACATATATATATATATATATATATATATATATATATATATATTGACATATTAATAAATAGATAGTGCTGTCAAAAAAAATGTTTTGAAAAAGTGCCAATTAAAGAGGGTTAAAGAGACACCCCAGACCCCTAAAGCACTTGCTGAGTGGTTTATTTTGAAAACTGAGTCATCTTTTTTATTTTACAAAACATGCAGATTTTAACAGAAATTGTCACTTTTATAAATTGCTACACATCCTGACTGTCAATCAGACAAATAGTCTTGTTACTTCCTGGTTGTTTAGCTCACTTGAGCTAAACTCAAGAGGCAAGCCATTTCCCAGAGTACCTGCCTTGCAAGGACTTCTCATTGAGCTGTATTGGAAAAACTGTGATTGGACAGCCACAGAAAGTCTGGGCTAGGCTACAAGCAGAGGGCTTGCAAAGGCTGCAGACAAGAGAACTGCTTCTTTTGCAAGCTGTTTTAGATATACACCCAACAAAAAAAAGGCATAATACTAAACCGTAATATATATATATATATATAGAGAGAGAGAGAGAGAGAGAGAGAGAGAGAGAGAGAGAGAGAGAGAGAGCTGCACGCATGGTCTTTATTGAGACAAGGTTAAATATGATCCACATTTCAGTCCTTTCCCAGGATTTTCATCAGGATCAATACCTGATTGATAGGGCAGTGGGAGGGTATGTTTGCAGAGAAATGTAACTTAACATTTATACAAACACACAGGTTTACAAAGATAGGAAATAGCTAACGCAGTAGTGATTCATCCTCTTCCTCGATTTATTCAAGAGCATTATTAGCTGCTCAGTGACTGCTTAACATATATTGAAAGTGCGATTAAAATGGTAGGAAGGTACACACCTATTATAAAGACGATAGGTGTAAATACGTTCGTGTTTAAATTATTCTATGTAATAAAAAATATACTAAATATTAACATCTTTCACTCTGTATTACATTTTCATTGCTATACTGACTCATTAAACACTTTCACTGCTAGCAGGTATCCAACACATTACCACACATCTATAATGCTTTATACTGGATCGATTTTATTTGGATCACTATTTTGCCGTCCAGTATCCTTTGGCATGAGAATACCAGGGAAAATAAGCTCCATGTATATGCACAGAACGATTAATCAGCATGCACTGTGTGCGGTTGGTTAATTAGTGGCTCACTTCATGCCTTTTAACATGTGTGGCTGACTAATATGTCCCCAAATTAGACCCCCATGACATGGCTGTTTTGTTTCACTAGAATGTTGGTATGTATATATTTCAATGCAGTGTAGATCCATTCAGCACTGAAAGGGTTAATCACTCGATTTTACTTCCCCTCCTTCCACAAACTAGGTAGGTAAACTTTGGGACTCTGTTGCTCTAGACTGTGACTCCCATAATGCTTAGTGTTCAGGCCTGCTATGCAATTTACAAGTCATAATCCATACTAGCTGCTACATTGAGGTTTCTGGCTTAATTTGTTCAAATTTGTCTTCCACACTTTTTTTTTTGCAGCTTTCAGAGGGGCATTATGCATTTTTATTGCTTCTGTGTGTTTTACAAGTACCATTACAAGTTTAGCTATTAAGAACAACAGTTCAATGTAGCATGCCGTGTTCACTTCATTTAACATCCCTAGTGTAAAAGCTGACTAAACCCACAGTGTACAAGTTGGTCAGTGTGAAGATCTTGGTAGACTGCCAATATTAGGCTATTTTATCCACAGAATTAGAATAAAACATACAACGTGTTAAAATAGCTTTGCAAAATAAATCACTGCCTTCTAATTAACCTGTCTGTCAGCAGTGTAACTGCAAGGTGAGGGGTTCTGTGCTAGATAATCTTTTAGCTTCCAGCAGTAGTCACTTATTCCCATCCACCCACACACAAATCCCAAGTCATTACACTTTCTGTATGTCATGTTGGTGTTGCAATATCTTCTGAGGCCCTGTTTTATTGTATCTCCGCCAAGATTGTTCCAGAAGATGGAAACATTCCAGAGGGAGAACTTTAGGCATTTCATCTTTACCCTTCTTCTCCCAGCAATCTTGTCACGTAGGAGGGATTATTATTATTGCCATTTATATAGCGCCAACAGATTCTCGATAAAGGCAAAACCCTTCAACTGACAGTGCTGCTTTAAAGTTACAAACAATATGCCAACTGTTTTTGTGTATAATAGTCACAGTAAAGCGAAAGCAAGAGTAACCAAAGATAAACTAAAAACTGTTGACATTTAGCAGTTTTGTTAGCTAGACCATTAGAAAAGCAGCATGTAGAAGTCAACACATGGCACCCTGCAGTATAAAGTGTTATCATTCTGCAGAACGGCAATGTTTTCATTGCAGTGCTCAGATGCCTCCAGTGACTGTCACTCTGACAGCAACTTGTGGTGCTTCCTCCAAAATAGGCAAGTAAAGAGGCCACTTGTTTTGTCATGCATGCACAGT